GGGGGGGGGGGGGGGCGGTTGTTAAGATGTACACAGATCTTTCCTCTGCCTCAAGTAGCAGAGAGTAATGATTTGTTCATAATTTATGTCAAATACATAATAAGATAGTGTGATCCTCACTGAACCTCTTTGAGATATGAATCTATCATTGAATTATTTTGAAGTAGCTACTTATTTCTGATAACATGGCTAACTCATAACATTTGAATTATTGAAAAAAGTGAGCTATGTATTTTGTTGATGGCATAGACAGGATTTTGGAAGATCTACTGTGGTTGAAAATGTTGTTGGGCTGAATTTGCTTCTTGATTTTTATCTTGTTATGTAAAACAAATTTAGATGGAGGAAAAAGTAAAGGAGATTGTGGAGATGAAGCAACGGAGTTTGGCAGAAGAAAATCAGAAAACGCTGGAGGTTCTAAAGGAAAGGTAATCTACGTTAGGTGTCATTTAAGGTTGATCATTTCAGCTTATCTTGGATTTTTGATCATTATAATGTTGTCTTTGGTATGGGATAACATCAAGCATAAGCATGATAACAAGTCTTTTAATGGAAACCACATCCTCTTGTTAATGCAGGGAACAACTATTACAGGATCAATTACGACAGGCTCAAGACAGTGTTTCTAATATGCAGAAATTGCATGAACTTGCACAAAGCAAATTGTTTGAGTATCGTGCCCAATCAGGTTAATTCTAATTTGCATTTTCGTTTAGCATAAGCGATTTGCTACCTTTCATCTGCCATATTGCATCACTTGTGCTTATGCATTGCAGAGGAAGATAGAGCCGCAAAGCAGTCGGAAGTAAATCTATTAATGGATGAAGTTGAAAGGGCTCAGACTCGCCTGCTAAGTCTAGAAAGGGAGAAGGTGAGTCATAGAGCCTATATGCTGAACAATTGAATGTGTTTGGCTTTGAAGTAATGGATTTCTCATTTTCTTGATGCATGTGGTTTACTTTGTATTTATTTCTGCATATGCTTAGAATTTTTTGGTTAACTCATGTGGTTAAAGATATCAATGTCAACAAAGATGATACGTCCACATTTAGATGTTCCAGATACTTGATATTATATTATTTATTGGAACAATTTTTTTTATCTTTTACTGTTTCAAATGTGTTTGTTTTGAAATGTTCCTGTATATAATCTTTCATTAAATTAGATCACAGTTGGGTCTTAACATACAAGTTCCTGAAACCATATTCTTACCTTGCTGCAATTATGTGCATGAGAGAGCAAGAGCTGGAGGGGGAGGGAGAGAGTATGCAAGCACACCTGTTCAGGATACAGGTGTAGATCCTAAGATTTCCAGGACTAGTATGTCCTAGAAACTAGAGGATAGGGAGGTGTGATTATATGTTTCTATACTATACATACATACATACATGTCTAAGCTCTAAAGTCGAGCAAATAAAAGAAAGCAAGTGATCTTATGGTTTATTATGTTAATAATCAAAATGGTCACCTACTCAAAGAAATTGCCCAGCAAATGGTAACCCTAGCGACCACCTTCTCTTTTGAATACACGAGCACATTGAAGCTTTATAGTCACACAGCTTAATGATTTCATGGTGCTTCATGGAAAGTTCAATTAGATGAGAAGGCAAAGATACTGTGGATTTGTGAACGGATGTCTTATGGGGGTTTGTTCTGTCAATTAACCTGATCCATTGGTGTCTCTTTTAATCTTCTGTGGAAGAGTTTTCTTTCTCACAAAACATTTCTCACTAATACTAACATCTTAATTTGATTCTGCAATCTTATCAAATAACGAAAACTAGCTGGTGAAGTGTAAGTGATCAAGATGATAGTCTAGTAAATTTTTTTGTCTCAAATCTGAAAAGAACCATTGGTTGTTTTCAACTGGATGCTGGTAGTAGTAACAATGCTGCTTCCTAGTATTTCTATTTCTTATTTTCCTTTTTGTTCTTTGTCAATTCATAAGGTAATAATGTGGTAAAGGATACTCCATATGATGTCTTCTCTTTCTGGTTATTTCCAGTCATTATAGCAGTCATTTTTTGGGTTCATTTCCATTTTATATAATAATTTATGCTCTCTTACAACAAATTCCTTATATTAATTGGTGCAAGAAAAAATGTTTCACGACAATGCTTTGTGCTTGAAACTTAAGTAGATAGGCTTATTCAACTTCTTGGAGTTTGTTAATGTTTTCTGATTGTTCAAATCTGAATGATTAGTGTACACTGTGCAGGGAGTTCTACGTTCACAACTACAATCAGCAAATGAAGACAATGATACTAAGAGAAGGTGATAATATACCATCATTCTCTCTCTTCCTTCCCCATTCCCATGCCGAAAACTGCACAATCTATCAAATCCCATCTGGTTTCCTATGTCAAGTAAATCATATATACAGTTCTGCAAAACACATACATAGACCCCCAACATGCAGGGTTTATAGTACTCTGAACCCTACAATCTGAACACATCCAGGGCCACCATACATGTGGTCTTTGTTCATAAGTTAACCTGGCTTGTAAGATGTCCATGTTACACTTGACTATCCATAATTATTAATGTTTTTCATGATTTGGGTGACCAACCTATTTACATATGTTTTACCTTGGGCAGTCAATAGCGGTGCTATACCGGTCCTTGACCACTACAAAAATTCATTATCATGGTACAAAATCATAGTTTTGTTATTCACGGTGCGATTTGCTGTTGTGTGACTGTGATTTGCCATGATTCGATCGCTATTTATTGTGATGTTTGACTTTATGTTTCGATTGTGAGACTTTAGAATGGAAAATGTTATGCTTTTATTGAAAATTATTATTTGATATGTATTACACATATTAACTACGACATATCTTTGATACCAAAAAGTACGGCATATCTATAAATATTTGTATTTATTACATGAAATCACAGTCTTGACTGAGATTTCAGTTTAGGACCAAGATAACTGCATAGGTTTTGCCATTTATTTTCAACCAAAAAAATACCTAATTAGAAATACTTGCATCGATTTAATAGAATTCTAGTTTGTGTAGTATGCACAAGTTTGTTTGGGTAAATTATTTTATTTGCATGTTTACATGACATGCATATGCTTTAACAGAAGAATTTGAGTCTCCAGTAAGAGCTATTTACAGCTTGTATCAGTCACTTTCTATAAGATACTTCATCCATCTCAAAGCAAATGCACCCTTTTCCTTTTTGGATGATGTTATACTCCAAAATTACTTCTGCCTCGTAGTAACAAATAATTGAAGAAATACTTGAGGTAATTACTTCACTTCTTGCATAAGAAAGGGATTAATACCCTATGATGAAGATTAAAATTATAAAGTCTTTTCTATGTTTTTTTAATTCTTGATTGTAGGTGTTCTTTTGAGAACTCCTTTAGATCATTCATAAAAATTAGTTGCCCATGGTCTTTGTAATTCCATAGAAATCTGTTCTGTGTTTTTTTTCACTATTTACTATTTTAAAGCTGTTCAAATTAAAAAATCATTTGCATCGTTTTAATTTCTATTTTACCTTGTAATTGTTGGTCAAAGGACTCCATAGTTTGGTGTTGGATGTCTTAATAGTAGTTTGCTATAATGTGGGGGCTTCTATGAGATAAATCACATATATCGCGGGTTTTAAGTGCAAGTAGATTTTCTGTTATAAGCCAACATAACTATCAATTTACTTGTCTTTTCTCTTTTTTCAATTTTTGTTCAACCCTTGCGTTTTTAATTTTTTACAATGGTGCTCATGATTCTTTTTGAGGAAACTGCACATGAAGCATCCCCCTGGGCATGCACATGTGTAGCCTAAAGACCGGCTCTGCTATTTTGTGCCTAAGCTGCTTATGTTGTGAACTGACCTGCAATATCTAGCAAGGTTGGTGTTGTATGCTAGAATCCTAATGTTACATAATTCATAACCGAGGTATAATACGATAATATATCCATTCAAGGATATGAAAAATCGACAAAAAGCCAACATTGGAGAGTGAAGAGAACTGTCTATAGAGGAGTGGAGGACTTTGTAAATATGATTATATGGCAATGAATGATGGGTATTTTCTGCACCCTAGGCAAACATAAAATCAAATTTTTGTGAAGAATTAGACAATATTCTATGCTGTTGCAGCGGTCAAAATCTGAAATCGCGATCAGGACCGTGATTTGATATAGCGGTTATCGCGATGGTAAAGCGGTTGTATGATGGTCCAAAAATAGCGGTTTATATAATAATTAGAATTATATATACACACAGACACAACTTAATATATTATATGTATTCAATAAAATATATAATTTCAAGATTGACCAAAGAAACTCGAGGAGAAAGAAAAACAGAACTCAGAAAGACGAACAACAAAGAGGAGCTTGCAGAGACGAGAGCCAGCGAGAAGGAGCAATTTGATGCCGAAGCTTGGAGTGACATAAAGAAAATCGTACAGCTTTTTTACCACGGTCGGGGGAGATGCTTAACCCAAATTTTACTGAAGCCCGATTGAAATTAAAATAAAACAAAGCCTCACTGAAATCAAAAACAAAAAAAATGACCCAACACAAAAAGTGGCTATAGCACCGGTATTTCAAACCCAAATAGTGCCCATTTTGGCGGTTGTTAGTGCAATTAGTGGAATCGCTATTTTGCACCACTATTTTCTTCTTGACCGCGAACCACAATTTTACCGCTATGGGTGGTGCAATTAACAGCATATATAATTTTTGATATAAAGAATGAAATTAAGAACATAGACCGTTTGTAAACCAGCTGCTTGTTTGTGCTGAATCAATGATAAGATGGGAGAGCAAGTTCTTACACCGATATAGCAACTTATGTCGGGCGACAATGTTTCATCAGTTCCCTAGATATTAGAAAAGAATATTAGATAGTACTGCTTCACTTGATGGAGTGTAATCCTTAGGTGCTGCATTTAGACAATCAGATTCCAAAGTTTTTATTCTCTATTTTTCAGTTCCTTGCTTGAGTGTATCATTTGGTCAGTGACTTTATCAATGACTTATCTGCTGCTTCTAGTTTTAGATTTGCAATTCTTTTTTTTTTATATTTCCTACTGTGATGGTGCCTGGATTTGTATTTGATTTTGCTTTTCTTTTATTTGATTTAGTGATGATGCTGATACAAATAGCATCCTTGAGAATTCTTTAAGTGCCAAGGAAAAGATCATCTCGGAACTAAATACTGAACTTCACAGTATTGAAACAACCTTATCTAACGAACGAGAACAACATATCAATGAAATCAAGAAGTTGAATGCAATGCTCAATGAGAAGGTACCATGCTGTTAAGAATCCTTTGTTTATGAATGACATTTCTGAGTATCATGTCGGAGCTTGACTTGGCTTTTCTCTGTTACTTGGGGTTAATACATCTTGACTTGGCTTTTCTCTGTTACTTGGGGTTAATACATGAATCTCATCACTTATGTTAGAATTTCTTTCTGAAGTAGGAACTATTAAAATACAAGTGGTGAAATCCGTAGTAACAGGATGCATATAGTTTAGCAACCACCATGTTCGTACTCGCACTAGTGATTTTCTTTTTGTGCTTAAATAGATAAAATTATGGGCATCTTACCTATCATTTATCCTAAGCCAATATAACTGCATCACAGCTCGTTTATGTTTTGGTTTAAATTATATTGTTCGAGCTGATGTAGGTTTATTGATATTCTAACATAGAATTGCTTTCATGTTGTACTTCATTGTTGTTGTAATTTTCCAAATGTTGCCTGTACGTATGCCAATATTTCTGTCATCTCATGAAAAGAAATCAGATCCTCCAGTAACTTATATTGCACTTACATAGCAGCAAAATGGTCCTATAGAGCATTGAAACATGTTCTCAGGAAGAAACGTTGATCAGAGTATTTGGTGCTCCCATACAAGAGATTGAAATCAGGTGCACAAGGGAACATGTGTGGACCAAAAAACCAGTAAATGATAAGAAATATGTGTTCCAATTGTTATGCCATATTTGGAAGTTCTATTAAATTTATTGTCAATTTGTTATTATATCATAAACTGGTCTGTTACAGTTAGATGCATTAATATCCGTATGCTAAATTATCAATTCTTTTTTCTTACTTCTTATTCAATTTTGCATCCTTTCTGTTTATTCAAGTGGTTTTCTAATCATTTTTTACTTGAATTATGCTAAGATGATAAGAATTGCTTCCTAATATACAGCTTTCACCATATGTTTAAGTAGCAAGTTGGATCCTTCTGTCACACACACACATATATGTATATTATATATTTCACAGCTATCATATCCTGTGTTTTTTTATGCTACATTCTTACCTGCCATTGTCTTCTTTCCTAATCAACAGGAAGTTGCTCTTGAGGAAATCAAGAAAGAGCTCCAGGAAAGGCCTACAGAGAAATTAGTAGACGATCTGCGCAAGAAAGTTAAAATTTTGCAGGTCATATATTCTACTCTGAAAAATTGGACATTTATTAGTGATGTTAATTTTCAAAAAGTTTCAATTTTTATTGCTTGTAAGTACCTAATCCATTTGTGCACTTTGATTGAATATTACTAGTGTGGTTATATTTGATATGAAAATATAATCATGAGTTGCATTGATAGAGGGAAACAGTGGTGACAGCAGCTCATCGGCTTTGATAGGGTTGGCAAGGGAAGTCATTGAATGCAGCCCTACCCTTGCAATTAAATGAGGATCTTTTTATGACTCGTAGCCTATGGCTTCTGGTCAAGAGTACCACTTGCTCCAAGGCTTGTTCCTGTTGCTGGCCTTGTTGCTGTCAGAAATTGATTCATTCCATCCTCATTATGAGGCCGGAAAGTTTATTAGCACAGGTTGGCACGAAGTGTTTCATCATCCTCAAACATGAGTGGATGGTTAGTTAGGAACAGTTTATAGATCAGAATCTCCCACAAATTGATCGAGTAGTGGGTCAATTCATGCAATGGATATACTAGACTTAATGCTGAATAGTTCTACTACATCCTGTTCAGCTGCAAGGCCTCATGGAGTATTTGACACATGCCATTAAAACCATGCTTAGTTACTGAGATCAGGTGAATGTGCCCCCACATATTATGTTAGTAGGGTAAAGCCAATGTGTTATTGAGAATTTCTCAGCTAGAAAATTACTCTAGGTTTAGATATACTTTGACATTAAAATGAAAGAGGAAACAAAATAAAACCAACCAAAATCGTGAGTCTTTTGCATAACCAGAGTCCGCTTTAGTTTTTTTTGGATTGGGAACAATCCCTATTTATGGCTTTATGCTGAAAGTGTCCTTTCTTCTCTCTATCTTCCTCAAACTGACCAATCGATAGGTCCGTTTATCACCACTGTTTGACTGTAGTTCTTTTTTATATTCATTGGTGCACGATGCATCTCAACAATGTTCACATCAAAGGAGCTTTGTTATTACACCAGTCCTTGTTAGGCTATCAATTCGTAGCATCGATCTGACTTCACATCTAGCGAGGCATTGCTAAATTAATGCTCCCAGTTTGAATACACTCCAATTGCTTTGAACAACCACACTTCATGTTCACACAGATACACAATCACACACACACATATAGGGTTGGGTTCAAACGAGAACATGGTGAAAGTAAGAGAACACAAGAACACCTATATCACATGTGATTTTATAGTGAAATCACATGTGATTAAGGAACATGCAGTTCAGGCACTGCAGTTGGAATTATGAATTTGCATGCATCCTTCACTTCCTGTCTCATTATTCATGTTCTGTCTGTAGGCAGTGGGTTATAACTCAATAGAGGCTGAAGATTGGGAGGTTGCTACTAGTGGGGAGGAGATGAGCAAACTCGAGTCTCTACTTCTTGATAAGAACCGAAAAATGGAACATCAACTCACACAATTAAAGGTGATGTCATTGTTTTCCTCTTAAATGTTACTCCCAGTTCATTTCAGTGTGAACTGGCTTGTACATTATTCCTGAAGATCAAGGTCATAGTCACATGACTGTGCTATATGTTGAGAGAACGGGTATAGAAAAAGTGATGCCATTACTTCTGTCAGACTTGTGAGTTACAATTGAGTATGATTGTATGTGTGATAGCATCTACTATACCAGGAATATCAATGAATCCGACCAATCATATATACCATTTTTTATTTACGCCGAGGAGTCCTGATAAATGATGATTGAGACGAGATTCATTCAACTGATTTATGCTCTGCCTTTAGGTCCAACTCTCTGAGAAGACTTCTTTGGCAGAAACATCTGAAAGCAAGATTTTAGAACTTACATCAAAGATTAACGAGCAACAAAAGCTTATACAGAAATTAGAAGATGATATATTAAAGGTTAGTATTTGGCAGGTGTATCTAATACGTCTTTGTCCAGTCATGCATTAGATGCAATAGTATATCCCTTGTTTGTACCATGAATCAAAAAGTACAAGTAGGCCTTTAATTGATGATCATTTGGTTATTCCTTTGTGGCTTTGTAATTCATTCTTACTTGTGATGAAGGGTTACAATTCCAAAGATCGTAAAGGAAATATGTTTGATGATTGGGATCTTTCGGAGTCGGGTGCAAAAGATATTTCTGAGGTATGTTTACTGTTTTTTCCTTATTACCATTTGAGTATCTTGAAAAATAAAGAATCACAAGGAGCATGTCAATCAGTTTATAACTCCACTCTCGCTATCTATCTATGAAAACTAAGGTTCATATTAATATTTAGCCTTTCTGAGAAGATCCGACTATTTTTTTCTTTTTTATAGCCTAATTGTTAGCTTATACCTGATGCAGCAAGCGGGGTAATTCAGTTTGTAGGATTAGTTCTCAGAGGTTCATTTTTTTTAAAGTTTTGAATGGTTTCACAAATCATAGGTGCAAATTGTTACTCATTAATTGCATAAGTAAAACAGAGGTAACTATGAAATAAAAAACATTTCTAACTAAATCACTGTTCTGATAAAGTTGTCCCAAGAAGGTGTGCATCTAATGTCAAACTTGCAGTCAATGAAATGAAAACAAATGCATTTAAAGAAAATGAAATGGAAACACAAAAATCATACTCTGAGGATCTTTTGATGTATCTTTTTTGGCAACTCAGATCCATGACCTAAATTGCCTAGTCTCTGAAGCAAATGGTAAGATGGAAATCTGGAACCAACAAAAAGGACTCCTATTGGAAATATTACCATCTCATATGGGCTGGACTACCAGTGGAAAGCTTACCACCTTATTGAAATTAGTTATTATACCACCGAGGATAGGAGGTTGTGTATATGCCCTATGCTGTTAATTGCGGTGCTATAGCGGTGAAATAGCGGTTAGCGGTCCTAGGGGAAATAGCGGGGAAATAGCAGTTCTGCTAATAGCGGTGCTAATCACCGCAATTGGGCCGCAATTTTGATTTGTAATAGCAGTGTGAAAACCGCAATTAGGAGTTGCGCTTTCAGTTGGCCTTTTAAAGGGTTTAGAGAGGTCGGTTAAGGATTACGAGATAGGGGGCTGATTTTGATTTGCTATATTGGTGTCTAAACTCGCTAGTTCTCTCTCATCTCTTCTATTCCAGTTTACTAATCTGCATCTTCTCTTCACAACAATATTGTCTTCCAATATCGGTTGCTCGTCATCTCTTCTATTCACTTCATATGTTCACCTTCAAAACATATATTCTGTTATGCATACATTCATACATTTATATAAAAATGAAATTATTACATGAACCGCTCCTTGTGGACTGCTATACCACCGCTTTACCATTGCGATAACCGCTATATCAAATCACGGTCCTGACTGCTGTAACAGCATAGCTTTATATTAAATACATGCTGATGATCAGGAAAATCTGGCTGTCCCATTTGTACGACCTTTCTTGAGCAAGGGAATTTTTGTCGTTCATAAGCTTTCCTATTTTTTTCGTTGACAAACTGCCGAAGTCGGATCATCTTAACTGCAACTCTTTTCTATTTTTTTCTGAGGTTCATCTAGGTTTAAAGAAGGGTCATTTAGAAAGCCTTCTTAGAGCTGTGGGTTTGACATATTTGAACAGATTCTCTTTGCGGGTAATCGAGAGTGGATGCTGACATTTAGTAATTGGATAATGGCTTCATAGGTGAAGATGACCACATTTTTCCCTAAAGCAATTTGATGACTCTTATCTTGGTCCTAGTTCTGCTTTTGCCTATTTATTGGACATTCTTTTCCCTTTATGACTTAGGACGCCAAATGGGGTTTTGATGCTTTCATGTTCGTCATGGATCTTATCATGGGCTTGTGTTCGGTGTTCCTTTATTATATATTCATATCTCTAGGATTTTGGAAAGGCATTTCCTGAGCCATCTTTTCAGCTGTTTTTTACCTTGACTTTTTCAATTATACATATATAACGCCTAAAGGAGGTGTTAATGAAGGGAAAGAATGTGATGGTGGAGATAGGAGGGGGTTACTATAGAAGCCTATCTCCTAAAGCTTTGGTTTGCAGATATTTGCTACTTTTGGCTGGAATATGTTCCAAGACTCCAAAGGTGGATATTAGCAGTCCCCTAAGCCTTATGACTGCCGTTGAGGTATGTAAAAATCCGTGAAGCTGCTACTGAAAAGGTAAGTGAAAATCGGTCTTTAGACGGTGTTTTTATTCCCATTGCCAGCATAGGCATACTTTCTAGCATAGGCCTACTCCATCCAACATGGATCATCGAAAAGAAAACCGTAAGCCTACAGTGGGCCCTAGAAAGTTTTTGCTAAAGCAGGAAGCTGATGGTTTATCCAATGTAGGTTTACATTAGGCCTTGTTTGACAACCTCCTTCTTCTGATCGAACCTGAGTTCGTAGGTCCATGCCCTTTGTAGATGCTTTTTGAACTAAATTTTCTTCAGAACATTTGGAAGGTAAAATCACAGACCTACAAGGTTCTCTATCACCAGAGCAGGGGGCTGCGCCGAGCCAGGGAAGGCCTACATTGTACATGGCACACACATAACAAATTCCCTATATCCCTACTATCTCTCACTTATGACCCCTTTAGACAAGATTAAAGGAATAAAAACCCTAAAAGCTCTAATTTTTAATGTTTTCCCCCAAAAATCCTGGAAAAAATTACTTTATTACTGTAATTATTCCTGAAAACACAAGCATTGTGTTTTCATGAATTTCAAAAATAAAAATCCCAAACATATGTCTTCTAAAAAGAGCTTCAACTTTTTTTTCTTCTAGAATGAGGCAAACGCAGGTAGCTAAAGAACAACCAAATGGACAATCTAAAAGCAAGATGTCAAGGAAGTTGGGTCCTTGATCGACTTCGGGGCCTCCACTCAAACAACCTTCACCCTCTGCTCTTCTGTGAGCTAATCACACTTTGAAAAAACCATCCCATGCATGAACATAGAGCTTTTATGGATATCTTAGTTATCGATATGTGCGTATTGAGTAAACATGTTAGCAACAAGTCCATTTAATGTTTGTTGGGAAAGTGTTGTGTACTTGGGCGTTGAAGAACTACTCCACGGAGCTTGTGGTTGAACTATCGACAGTTCTTTCACATTATGAGGACAGATTGTATACAATGTATAGCATGGTGCATGGGCACAAATATCTCTTGGAGGATATATGCACCCTTTATGGAAGGGATACTCTTGATAACCTCGATATTCATACCCTAAATGCAATCCATGAACGATGAGTGATGGATGTGCGAATGAAGGTGGTAAAAATAGAAAAACAAAGAACCAGGTAATTGAGTAATCGAAGATGCTAATGTCGAGGGCACCTCAAATTAAACGGTTTTAACATAATCTCCTAGGGTCCAAAATATGACATAAGGAAACGAGTCAACAATTAATCAATGAATTTCAGTTGCTGAGCAGTTGTCACCTTAACTTAACCCCATAGATATCTTTGATCAATTGTGGTAAGTAAGCTAAATGAAAAATCGAAAGCACGAACTTGAGTCCCTAAAAGTTATTCACTTCATGCATTAAAAACAAACATTCATACCTTTCGGGGAAGTGCATGATTAAAATTAAAATGGTTATTCCTGCAAGGATTTAATGTAATTAGCACCAAACAAGACACAACCATACCTAGTATTGTATACACAAAAATGTTATATATAGTATCAATTGAATATACATGTCTCCTGGTTTTCGATCGTGAGAATGAAACTGAAGAGCTCATATGGAAAATTGTAGTGTAGCCTCCAGATGTTTACCTGGAATTTAAATACGGATCCTTGGACTTGCTCTTTTCTTCCACGAGGAACGGTGGAGAACGAATGATGCAAATTCTGGAAACTTTTGCTTTATAATTGTAAAATGAATACCTTTAGGTCCTGTTTGGTTTGCGGGATTTGATAGGATTTGGAGGGATTTGGAATGAATTCCATTCCATACCTATGTTTGGTTTGAAGCAATGCTTGGACTTGAAATCTCGAGACTTCATAGAAGTTTCGTGGGATTTCATAGGATTTGCTAGTAAATTATTTATAAAGAATGAAATTCACTTCCATTCCAAATCCTATAAAAAGATTACAACTCCTTCCACGGAATCCAATTCCCTCAAAAACATTCCGTCAAACCAGAAGGACCTTTAGTGTCCACCAAAAGCCACCTTTTATAGTTGAAATCTTTGCATGTGGAGTTGGAATTGGACTTCCATTCCTTGTGCAGAGAACATCTTATCAATTTCTATTAGATTGATATTTTCCTTCAGCACCAAAGTTTATTTTGTGACCGGTGACATCTATTACAAGAAGTTTCTTTTCTTCACCATCTTGCAATGCAACTGCTTGCCATAACACTAGTTTTGCATACGATGTTACCGGAATAACTTTGCATTTGAACTCCATGGAACAGAATGCAGATCATAAACATGTTTCTTCTGACCAAGATCAAAACTCAATGCTTAAGGTGATATGCAACCAAAGAGACCGTTTTCGGGCACGCTTGCGTGAAACTGAAGAGGTAAGCTTTTTTACTATCTTCAATCATCATTTCCTTTATCAACTTCTTTTTTCCGAGGGAAAGGGTGTTAGTTGCTTCTTATCACTACAACAAAATCAGGTTTATAGGACGCCATAAATGTCTAAATGTCTTAATCGATGGCTTTATAAGACTTCCATTTTATGTTTATAACATGAAACAATTATGCATCCTGTATAAGTGTTCCAATAAGCTTATAAGACACTTTTGAGCGTCTTAACAAGTTTTTTACGACACTTTTAGAATAAAGTGTTTTATTAGTTTTTTTTTTTTCTAGGACACTTTTGAGAAGTGTCCTGTAATCACATGTTTTTATAGAATACTTCTTTTAATAAAACACTTCTTCAAATTATGTCATATAAAATATAAACTTTTTATTCGAACAGTGCTTTAAATAACTTGTTAAAACCCCTAAAAGTGTCTTATAAACTTATTGTAAGACTTTTACATAGGGCATACTTGTTTAGTCCTATAAACATAGTCCTATAAAGCAGTCTACTAGGACATTAGACATTTTTTATGTCCTATAAACCCGATTTTGTTGTAGTGTAAGTCAATACCTGGCTACTGTGAACTCTTTTTTGAAGTATATAATATTTATATACGGTAAATACTCTCACAAACTCACTCACCTTAGGTGAGGTTTGAACTCTTGACCTCCTAGGAGGTTGGGTTCTACCGGAAACCCAGGTACTGCTGGGCCAATGACCCTTTGGTGATTGTTGTGAACTTCTGATTGTGTTAGGAAATAAGGCAGTTGAAGGAGAGGATAGGGGTGCTGACAACTGAACTGGAGAAGACGAAAGCTGACAATGTCAAGCTTTATGGAAAGATCCGTTACGTTCAGGATTATAATCTTGAAAAAGTAGTCTCTAGAGGATCAAGGAAGGTGCTATATATCATCTTAGTTTAATTGTTTTGCTTGAGATTACTGTAGCTCAACTTCTGTGTCTTTTGCAGCAATCAGTTGAAGATCTTGAAAGTGGTTTCAGCTCTGATGTGGAATCCAAGTATAAGAAAATATACGAGGAAGACATAAATCCATTTGCAGCGTTCTCGAAAAAGGTTCTTGACGCTTAAAATATATTCATCTTGCAATCATTTTGATCACGTCCTGTCTAATTCTCCCAGGCGAAGGTAACAGGTGTTTTGCTCAAAACATAAAAAGGGGAAAATGGACTGTTTTGAGAATTAATTGACTATAAGTGACTGTTATGTTGTCTACAGGCATCATTGTTGTCACTAAAAAACGCAAAAGATTGAATTGGCCAAGTTTTGTAGAAGATGATGGACTAGTGTTTGTGAAAATTTATTTAACGCACTATCTGAACTTCAACCATAGGCATATATTATGGATAATTGCGTGGCTAGAAAGAGTCTTCAGCCTATCTTGACGCTTTTGAGAAGAAATTGTTTGAGAAACAAGGGTACACTTGTAATTAAATTTTTAGATGTATTTTAATACAACTTATATGTATAATGTAGTTCATTAAAAAATATGTGATGACATAATCAAGGCATTCGGCTCATTAAGTAAAAGTCGAGACACACGTAAGTTGGAAACACAGGGAGAACAATTTTGGGCTTATAGCTCTAGAAGCGGTTGCTGACTATAATAATGCGACAACTGCAAAGGGGTTCATATTTTTACATGCAAATGTAAATATTTGTGTCGTACTAAAAGTTGAAATTGATGTTATACTGATCTGAGCAAGCTAAATGCAACAGTGGATTGGTGTTCACAATGGTTATGTGGATTCCTGGCCTTATCCATGTACTATTTTGACTCAAATTCTACAACTTCTTGAGTTCCTGTTAACCCATTCTGGTGAAATCATTTGAAACTCGAGTGAAGTCATTCAGTATCATCACTCACGTGAATGTATATCAAGATGATTGTTTCTTTAGACCTTTTTTGTTTTCTATTCTTTTGGGAAGGCAACAAGAAACAGAAAAATTCACACTTGTCCATTTAGCATCGAGTCCACAACCAGTCAACCACTAGGTTCTGAGCTAGAGGCAACAGGTTCCTTTAGATCTGATAGGATTGTTTGTGGTATCCACACAACTGTAGCGTTATATTTCTGCTTGTTCATCTTCTTAACCATAAACAATTTATTTTTACAGGAAAAGGATCAAAGGTACAAAGAGCTTGGTTTACGGGACAAAATTACACTTACCAGTGGCCGTTTTCTTCTTGGCAACAAGTAAGCATCTATTGTCCTTATATACACACACATATACACATTCGTATAATATATATGACATGTCCTTATACACCTAGTGTAAAGTTGGAAACAGAAGCATGTCCGACTCAAAACTGTTTAAGCAGTTTTGTTCGGCTTATTGGCTACTCTAGGCCTTATGGAGGCCAATCACTAAACTAGTATTTTGAACTGTGAAAAAGGAAGAACAATTTGGAAATTATCTTTTGGGGGAAAGACTTCAGGTGGCTATTCTGAGACATCTCGAAATGGAATGTAGGACAACTGTTTGGAATCATTCTTTCATTGGTATACATATGTGTTTTTTTTTTCTTTCTAGCTTGCAATTTAATGAAAATTGTTGGGTGAAAGGGAAATGTGCTAAAAGAACATGTTATTGTCCTGCAAGTTAGTTTTCCAAATTCCTAAGTTTCAGGATATGCGTAGATTGAACAAAAGAGGGGATGACAAAGTCTAGGGCATCTGGAGTTTTAATTTCTAGTATATTACTCTTTTGGTCTTTGTGGTTGCCACTCACTATCAATCTCGTCCCTATTTTGAACTAATTATACTTTTGATCACTGTGGTTGCCATTTTGTTTTGGATTTCGTCATTGTGGTTGCCACTTCGTTACACTTTTGGTCCTTGTGACCAACTCTGTTAAAAAAATCAGTCAACCCAAAGGCAATTTTGGTGGTCTTTTACATTTTTCATTAACTTCAAATTAAAAAGTAAAGAATTATATTATTATATTATATCAAAATTAGAGTAACCCACTAACCCCCTAAGCTCCCTTCTTCCCCACATCTTCACTGACCTCTACCCCTTCCTAAACCACCGATGACTCTCTCTCTCTCTCTCTCTCTCTCTCTCTCTCGTCTATTCTCTACTCTCTTTATCACAAAATTATAGAACTCGAATTCTTGAAAAGTGTATACCTTGAACGATCAGCATGAGCAGCGATCCAAGGCTCAATCACAGAAGAACCAAAACCATCAACAATCTGCCCCCTGCTCAAGTCAACACCACTGGAAATCCTACACTCGGTCATATTCACCTGTTTGGCTAACCAATTCAACACCTCTACACAATCCTCAAATGCCGCCCGATGATTATTCCCCGGTGCAAGCCTATACCCTACCGCCACCACAATCGCATCACACACCTTCACAATCCTCCAACAAATCGCTACTCCCAGTCACAAACCCTCCTCCATGAAACTGCATGATCACCGTTTAAAGAGTAACTAGGGTCGATAATTAACTGGGGCGTGATACGACACCAAATTGGGTGGGGCTTTTGGTGTGTGTTTCAGTGAGGGTTTGTAATTGATGCTTCAAGATGAATTTATGAAGAAAGCTATAAGACTTTACAGATACAGAGGCATTGTGAAGAAGTAGAAGATTATACATTTAGGGATCTGAACATCAGTTAGGGTGTTAATATGATAGATTTGACATTTCAAAATTGGAGATGGGAAGAAGGCTTGACAATGGTATTAATATCTTATTTTAATTTTGTTGCAAGTGTAACTTTTTCCTTTAACAGATCTGAGTTTCCTTCAAGCAATCCTTTTTAACCATAATCTTGTGCAAAGAACAGTATATGGATGATTTAATTCGGTTTTATTTTTTTGTTTTGATTTGGTTCTGTTCAATTTTGATTTTATTTCCTTTGGGTTTGTTTTTTTTTTATTTTGATTTCTTTGATTTTGTTAGGTTTTGATTTGTTGGTCAAAGAAGTTTGTTTGGAGAAGATGATTGAGGTTGGGGTTATAAAAAATAATATTTTAATGAAATGAAATAGGAAAAGACAAAATAGTTAGAAAGACTAAAATGCCCTTGAGGTTAGCGGACTTATTTAACAGAGTTGGGGGCCATTTACCGAACGCTTACCCGCATAAGCGCTTACCAAGTCACATTACCTTACCGGATGAATATGTCAAGGAACAAGAATCTTACCACCGGTAAGAGCGAAGGTAAGAGTGAAGACAAGGACCGAGAGTCTTACCTGGTAAGTCAGAGTGACGACTCTTACCACAGCTAGCGCTTACCGGGTGAATTGTTGCATACGATGCCGTTTTAGTGGACTAAAATCTTTCCCGGTAATTAAGTGATAGTGTTGAATTTTACCGGTAAGCACTTATCAGGTAAGTGTTTGGGTAAACGGCCCCTATTCAAGGGGACCAGATCTGAAACGAAATGGCAACCGCAGTGATCAAAAGTGTAAATAGTTCAAAATTGGGACGAGACTTGATAGTGAGTGACAATGACAGGGACCAAAAGTGGAATATACTCTTCCATTAATTTATTATATGGATCTTCTTATGAATAATTGGCTAGGAATTCACATAATTAAGGTTATGTTATTAACTGAATGGGGATTTAGAGTGGTTCAGTGAAAAAGATTTGAGTCTTATTCATTTTCATTTTCCCAAGTCTAGTTACTAGTTAGGTTTTCCTTCTTCCTTTGCAGAGATGGTATCAGGATTGGTTATTAGATCATTGAATAACAAAATTTGTGATTTTTTTTCTGTGGTTGTAAAAGGCAAACTGACTTTGGTGAAATCTTGGGTTATCTTGAATGTGTTGCTTATGAGATACTAGGATCCCTACTATTATTTTAGTTAGCTGAGCTGATAAACTAGTCATGTTTAGTAAAAACTAGATGACAAAATGACCTAAATGGGAAATATAAGTAGCATTTATGGCCATAGAATTGTTTTGCAATGCCCTATGGCTTCTAATTCTCCAAAATTACAGAAATGAGGTTGAACTTTTTGGAGTGGATGGAGAACGATAGGGACTACAAGTCAGGAAATTTTACAAATTTTTATCTTTAGATCCCGTAGAGTCCACATGACTTGTAGATATCAACATTACTAGCACTTTCAATTTTAGAAATAGAGTATTGGTTGTAGATTATACAAGATTGTTACAATTTAAACCATAACTACACATATGACATACTTTGCATGAAAAGGCTACGTACTTGGCCCCGACTCCAATTTTGCATGTCATACTTTCAAAACCTTCATGTTTGTACCTCAAATATGACATCTTAAACGTCTAGGTGCCTGGTTCATATATGAGATGCATACTTTGGTTTATAAATGTTTTGAGATATCACTCCCACGGTAACAAAATGAATGTTTCCAAATACATTACTTAAACTTGTAAATGTAAGATCGGTATTTTCAAAATCAGAAGCGACTTTTTTGGGTCAAAAGAACAAAACTTATTCATGGCTTGGTACTCTTTGGTTGTGATTAACAATTTCTTTTTGCAGATATGCACGAACGTTTGCATTTTTCTACACGATCGGGCTGCATATTTTGGTATTTAGCTGTCTCTACAGGATGTCGGCTTTAAGCAACCTCAGGTAATAATCTCAATAAATTTCTTGGTTTTCCTGTAGCAGCAGACAGATATATGTCATGTCCATGCCTGACTCTCACTTAATACATTTCAGCCATGGACCCGAAGAATTTGTTGGCAACGAGAAAATCACAAATCTTCCCCACGCGATATAGAGACATAACCGTAATCCCATGACTCGTTACAATGTACATAGACTAAATTACCCCTTTCCTGATCGCAAAGGGTGTTACTATGAGAATGTATCCTTTTGGTTTCTATGGACGATTCACCACAAAAAAGAAGATTGATTGATACTGGGTTTTATGAGGTTTTTGTTATTATATATTCAAAGTTATCATTACGAAACACAAAAAATTATGGGTCGAAATTCGTCTTAAATTATTTTGGGCGTTTTATGCCAACTTATTGAGAGAAGTCTATGCTTTCATTACTGAAGTTGTGAAAGGTTACCTCTATTTATACTACTATAAAGAACTATTTACAAAGAAGGTTCTAGTTACACAAGTTCTAATAATCATGTATGTCCCTTCTTAATTCTTGCATGGTATGTCTGGATCCTTTTCAAGCTTTCTCTATTCTCTCGATTTATCCAAAATGTTACGGATTTTCGAAGAATCTCTTACCAGTATGTGACATTATCTATTATTTCTATTCAACATAGAAAAAGAGAGGTTGGAAAACATAATGGATTTTTTGATTTTGAGTAGAGTTTTGGATAAATTTTTTTGAACAAATAAATCCCTATACTTTTTAAAGTTGATTAAATAAATATTTTTGAACTATAACCAGTTATGTTGTTAAATATGCTTTTAAAATAGAAGAAAAAGACAATAGGGGCACTCAATGTGACCTAAATTTGAAGTCACACAATTTATCCTACTACTTTTGTATATCTATTTATACTTTGACAAAACTTCTGTGTGCATCTATTTATGTTTTGAACATAACTTTTATATGTTATTGAATAGCTATTGGAAATTGTATTTCATCTTAGTTTACATGTATTTGATTTGTTTTAGAAAGTTCATGAATTTATTCGTTCAAAAAATAGTAGAGGCTCAAACGTTCAAGATATAAAAACTTCATTTTTTTTAACTTTATTTTATCATATTAATTAATTTAAGAGGTCAAAAGATCTATGATATTAGTTTTAAAATATCTACAAATTTAATTATTTGAAAAAAACTTGTTCTTAGACTTAGGTGCTGTTTATCAAACGCTTATCTGGGTAAGCGCTTACCATGTCACTTTACTTTACCGGATGAATATGGCAAGGACTAAAAATCTTACCAGGTAAGAGCGAAGGCAAGAATCAAAAGTTTTACCCGGTAAGTGAAGACGAGGACTCTTACCATTGTTAGCGCTTACCGGGATAAATTGTTGTATACGATGCGTTTTAGTGAATAAAATCTTACCCGGTAAGTAAGCGATACTGTTGAATTTTACTGGTAAATGCTTATCGGGTAAGTGTTTAGGTAAACGGCCCCTTATTCGCTTATAATTGAAAATTTTGTTGGTTTTTTATGAACTTTTCTGAGAAAACATTGACAACAAAGATTTTTTCTTATTTCATTTTACATTAGCTAATTACTTTGATTAATCATAGTTTTTATATTTAAAATCAAAACCACAATAGTAAAGATACCAACAAAACCATGGTTTTTGCGAAACTTCAAATAACTTATTGTTGTTATCCGTATTCATCAAGTCCTTTTTGGGATCGTTCAACTATGATCGTCATTTTAATATAAACCTTTTAGTAGAATGATTATCAATCAGATTCTTATATAGTATAGTTTTTTTTATAAAAGAAGTGTTTAAATATACAACAATTACCATTAAAGTTTTACGATCAATTATGTTTGGACAAAAATAATGCCGGGATCAATGCCCATTAGAAAGTATTCTGTTATGTCAACATCGGATATGGATTGAACTGCCTCACTATGTTTTAAAGCTAGCTCAACGTCGTTTTGTTAGGTAAAGCAATAGAATATTACATCCTATATGGCGAAAATCCGGTAACCGGAAACATCATTAGCTTATGTTTTGACCTGAGCTTGATTTTTTTTATATGAATATACTGTTTCTTATACACACATCTCCGTTACTCAAATTAGGGTTATCATGATATAAAGAAAGATAAAAAAATCTATGTCACGAAAAAAAAAAGCATATCCCTTATCCGTTCGGCCTCATCTAAAGAACCTAATGCCTACATCCTATCGACCGTGATTTATATGTTTAAAAGGATAAAGATTCTAATATATATTAAGAAAAATTGATCAAAGTCTAACTAATATAAAACTCTAAAACCCATTTATTTTGTGAAGTAAAAATATTGATATCTATTCCAAATAGATTTAGGAGAATTAAAGTAATTAACATCATTAATTAGTTATGTTTAGTAGTGAGTGGTGATGATCTCATTTTTTTCTTTTTTTTGTATTGTATTGGGTGAGTGGTTATTACTTAAAGAAGCACCAATCTCATTTTCTTTACCTATTTCTATAACAAGAATCACTCTCCAATTTAGTATCATCTAAGAGGGGTAACTTAACACAATAAATACTAGGTAAACTTATTCAAATTTGATTGATGGTTTCACTTTTTAATTAGATTATGACTCAAAGTTCAATGTTTAGTCAACCCTTACGCTGGAGATCTAAGCATATGTGTAAAGATTGATTTTTGGCAAAAAAAAAAAAAAAAGGTCTTTGCATTAAGGATCCAAAAAGCTTACGCATATAGTGGAAACCGGTACGCAGAAACCTTACTTGTATGCGCAAGGATTATGGACCCTTATGTAGAAGCCTCTTTTTTTTCTTTTCCCAAAACCAATCTCTACTCATATATGTAAGTCTTCTGCATAAAGATTACCTAAAAAGTGAATTTAGATCAAAAAATGATTAAAAAGGTGAAATCCTATCGGTTATTTTATCAATTTTACTAAATATTTTATCAATTAAAAAAATGAAATCCAATTTTCTATTGTTGATTAGTATTTTATTTGGTTTTGACCAATGGTACATTTTAGTGGATATAGTTACTTTTCATATAATTTAGAATAGTCTCACTTGAATGGGTTTTTGTGAGTCGGTTTCATACCAAAAAATGCAATTCTTAAAAAACAATTCCCATTATATAATTCATGCCACATATCTTTTCAGTTAAGGAATTAGAAAGAAAAAAAAAACAGTAGTTTATCAAGAAAGTTGTCAACTGTGTAATTTTGAAAAACTCCTTTTACAACCTTTCGCTTATAATCCTCGGTAGACATACGTCGGATAAGAATACTGTTTGGATAAAAAATCACAACCCACGACCATTGTCGAATCTAAGACTAATGTAAGATGGTTGCAAATTGTGGATGTGATTGATCAACAAATGATAATAACGTGTAAAGATTAAACTTAAAAGAACATGATCATACGATATATATATATATATATATATATGTAAATAAATAAATAAAACTTTTAAGCAAATTTAAATAATTTTAAGCTTAATAAAACAAAGAACACATATCATATAATATAAATAATTTAATAAGAGCAAACAAATACACATACAAAAACCACATGAATATCACATTTTATTTCTTTTCAAATAAATAAATACATAAACATCATTTAAGTGTCATTTTAAATAACAAATAGTGACATGATATATACTGGTTTATTAATAACCACAATACAGTAGAATAACATAAAAAATACAAATTGAGAAACTCTATAAATATAAAAGATGGAGAAGAAAATTTATAATAACAAAACTCCACATAGATCACACTTAATCATAATCTGATTGTTGTCAGAAAACAAAAAACAAAAAACTTGAATAAATACAAAATATTAATAAAACAAAATTACGCAAAATAAAAAAACACATAAAAAGAACGCATACACAACATAAATAGGTTCCAAAAATAAGGATGATGAAAATCATATTCAATAAAATATAATAGAGAAGAAATTTTTGAACAAAACATTCGTCAACAACATATAACCCACACAAATCATAAATTAAGATGCAATATTTGTTAACAGAAAAAGTTTATAGAGAAATAACATTCGGTATGGACAATAAAAACATTCTACATAACAAAAAATACAATATATAATGCATAGAAAAACAAATGTAATAATAATTAACAAAATATAATAACATGGAATAAAAAGCACACATCAACAACAAATAACCCACACAAATCATTATATAAAATGTAACAATTCTGACATGAATTTTATGGAAAAAGAATAACAATATCGACGATAAAAAAATTCTGCAAAAAAAATGCAACACATCAATAACAACAAATAGTTTACATAAAAACATAAAATAAACCATAAAAAATGTAGCTTCCATCTTGATTTAGACATTCGATTGTGTAGTTTGCAATATGATGGAAGAATTAGTAAAACAAAAGAAAAAAACATTAAATGAGATATAATATATATAGATGGGATTAAAAAACGGAATAGAAAAACGAAAGGTCTAGAACATTTATAAGTTAATAAAAGACAATTAATATAACGAACAAAATAAATCTAAAAAAAACTAAAGTTTTGAAGAAAAAAAGAATTATGAAATAATTTTTCCACGAAGTGTCACGTAAGAAACTCTATATTTTTACTTTTAGATTTATGTAAAATAATGAAGACAAATGCTCAATTAAGGATATTTTTGTCTTGGAAAATTTTGTTTTCATTTTGGAGAAAATAATGAAAATACACATTTTTCATTCACGGGTAAAAAAATATTTAACTTATTTAACATTTCATAAATTCAAAACAATGAGAAAATCTCTTTTAAAAATAATCTTGTGACAATGTCTCACACCATTTATTGTAAGTTTATTTTAATTAATAGATGGAAAGCTGAAAAGGTTGGGGGTTAAACTTTTTAAAATTATGGAAGAATTAGTAAAACAAAAATAAAAAACATTAAATGAGACATAATATATATAGATGGGATTAAAAAACATAATAGAAAAACGAAAGGTTTAAGACATTTATAAGTTAATAAAAGACAATTAATATAACCAACAAAATAAATCTAAAAAATATCTAAATTTTTGAAAAAAAAAGAATTATGAAATTACTTTTCCACAAAGTATCTATAAGAAACTCCATATTTATTTTTAGATTTATGTAAAATAATTATGCCAAATGCTCAATTAAGGACATCTTCGGCTTGGCAAATTTTGTTTTCATTTTGGAGAAAATAATGAAATACACATTTTTCATTCACAGGTAAAAAAATATTTAACTTATTTAACATTTCATAAATTCAAAACAATGAGAAAATCTTTTTTAAAAATAATATTGTGACAATGTCTCACACTATTTATTGTAAGTTTATCTATACTATATTATAAAACATTTGACAAAAACTCTTAAAAACTATTTTTATGCATGAAGTACT